AATTAAAAATTTCTTGAAATTTACCGCCCAATTCGAGCGCGTGGCGAGATGTGCGCATAGCAATATCGATCACCGGGCGGTCACATCTTGCCACGCGCTCGAATTGGGCGGTAGGCTGGCCTAAGACAATGATTTTTAATAATTAATTACTCGCTAACTATTACGAAAATTGCAAAATGGTACAGGACTTTTTCGTTCATCTTGATCCGTTCTACCTTCTTAAAAATTTTGTCGGATATGGAAAGACTCACCCTGTAGAAAAGAGAATAATAAAAGATTAGGAGAATAATAGAAAATTAAGAGAATTAATATTAGGAATAAATTAAAATTAAAACCTCGGAAAAGTAAAAAAGAGAAATACGAGAAAAGAAATCCGGTTCAACAATTACGTAAATTATTTTTTTAAAATGTCGAGGAAAATGCATTCTGCGCAATGCGCAGTGAGTATTATGATAATGCATTCTGCGCTGTGCGCAGTGAGTAATAGAAAAATTAATTCTGTGCGCTGTGCGCAGTGAGTATTATGAAAATGAATTCTGCTCTCTGCCAAGTCAGTATTATGAAAATTCATTATGTTCTTAACGCAGTGAGTATAAAGAAAATGCATTGTGCGATGTGCACATTGATTACTGTGAAATTACATTCTGCGTTAAAAGTGAGAATTAATATTAAAATCCATTCGGCCGAAAATGCATTATGTGCTATGCGCAGTATTATGAAAAAAAATCTGCGAAATGTTGTGAAAATGCATTCTGCGCTATGCGCAGTGAGTATTATAAAAATGCATTCTGCGCTGAGCGCAGTAAGTAATAGGAAAAATGAATTCTGCTCTATGCGCAGTAGGTATTATAAAGATGCATTATGCTATGTGCCAAGAGAGTATTATAAAAATTCATTCTGTAATGAACTCAGTGAGTATCATGAAAATGCATTTTGCGTTTGGCGCAGTGATTAATGTGAAACGGGATTCTGGATTAAACGCGGTGATTAATAAAAAAATCGATTCATCTTAAAAAGAAAATTACTGATCGTTTAATTCTGTTGTCGGGTGTAGATTGATAAACAAGTACCGTAAGTTTTCGTGGTTATGAAATTAGTGTTTATATTATTTATAATAGAAAGTAGTATAATAGGGCTACAGGCGAAGGTCTACTATAAAAAAACCTAACGCGCCATTAAGTGGAACCTCATGGGTGGTGTGAAAATCCACCATTCCAACCTAAAAATAATTAATTAGTTTTCGAGAAGATTGCTTTTTGAGTTATAGATGTTTTAAATTTCACAAAATCCATAAATAATGTTTTTTGGATTATACTTGGTGTTTTAAAAGTGATGCTACAAAATGTAATGGTGAAATGTATAAATTAGTATAAGCAAAAAGTTTTAATAAACTTAGGTAGAGGCCCCTCTTTTTCAGTATAAAAGGTGTTTCAGAAGTGATGGTACACAATCAAATGAAGAAATGTCCACAATTGTAGAGGCAAAGAGACATAAGTAGAGGCATACCCATGGTGGAAGGGATAATTCCACCATGGGCATACCTCTTGATTATGGCGATGACCGGTAAAAGATTTTTTGAATTTTAATGTGTTATTTTTTTTGAAGTGTCTGTGGTTGTTGTAACTATCGCAAATTATGTTTAATTGTGATTTCCAAAAATTTCAAAAGTGTATGACTGAAGAAGTAATTAATCATATTTTAATGAAATATATATGAAATTTGGATTGAAAAACTAAAGGAGAATATAATTTATAATTTGGAAAAAAAGTAAATTAATTTAAAGTAAAGTAAAGTAAATTGTGCAAATTAGAAATTTGCACATAGCTTCTTCATAGAGGAAGGTTTAGCAGCGAAATCTAATTTTTTTTTAATTATTCTTGAAAGTGTGCAAATTATAAATTTGCACATTGCTTCCTCATAGAGGAAGGTTAAGGTGCGAAATCTAATTTGGCACGATATTTCTTGAAAGTGAGCGAATTAGAAATTTGCACTTTGCTTTATGATCATTGAAGGGTTCAAATTGGAAATTTACAAATTTCCTCATCATTAAACTAGGCAAATTAGATATTTGCACATTGGTTCAATTGTTATGGCTTTCTCATAGATGAAGCTTTATGAGAGAAATGAAACTTTAGTACGATGTTTCTTGAAAGAATTCAAATTATTCTTATTTTGCTGTTAAAGCTTCCTCTATGAGGAAGCCATAACAATGGAAGCAATGTGCAAATTTGTAATTAGAAAAAAGTAAATTAAAGTATAGGGTTCAAATTAGAAATTTAAAAATGGCTCGAGTCACGCGTACGGGGCTGATATTCCACCGGTTTCGCTGCTGTCGTACCAAGCTATTTCGCGATGAGGATTTGCTTTCCGATCTTTTATTAAGGCTTTTAGTCGCTAGTGTAAGTATTGTAGACAACCTTACGAGAATTCTGCGAGGTCGAATGGTGAATCCCACTTCTGAACTGTAAGCGCCTTCTCTTTGACTTTATTCAGATACCTTCTGACAGAGTATATTACATATGCTTCGAGCTAGACAGTCCTTCGCTAACTGAACTGCCGCGATATTCGGGACTCATATATATACATGTACATACATAGCCCACACCACCGATGAACTGTCTCGATTATCGGGGCCGAGTGCGCCACCGAGTGTACTTAAGCTTACAAAAGTTGTTTGGTTTCGAGGGGGCCATAAGATGGTACCATTGGTTTGACCTTGAAGAATTATTTGAAGGTCACAAAAAGGTCACACCAATTTTTTTAAATGGCATCCCCTATTTTTTATTACATATTCTTGTAGCTGACCTCAAGAGCTTTCCAAAACGCTTTAATAAAGTATTTTTTATTAAGAACTTAATGAGTTATTAAGGTTTGAAAGTTCCAATATTTTGACATAAATTACAAAATATTTTGTAAAATATTCATTTTTTATCATCTTACCTTAATACTTTTTTGAACAGAATAATGAGACAAATCAACCGGTGTAAAGAAAACACAATGGTTAAAAAAAATTTTTTTTATTACTTGTTACAAAATTGTGTGTTGTCACGGATTGAGGGAGGTCCCAGGTTCGAATCCTGGTTGGGGTAATATTTTTCGTAATAAAATTAATTTACAGGACGGGGAAAATGGGGGGAGGGAGGGGATTGAATGCTAAATATAGCATCAGAAAAATGCGCAATTAAATTTAAAAAGTGTTAGAAAAATCAACATGAGACATGCTAGGACTGGAACGCTTTCGTTAATTTTTGTAATATTGTACAAGTAAGCGGGCGTTTTAATTCTTTAAGATCTTGTTGCTCCTCAAATTTTTAAAACTAGTAAGGTTCTGTACTAGTTTTTACAAAATTGTACATTTTCATGAAATACTACTTGCAATAATTTCTTGATTTGAGAA